TATATATATATATATATATATATATATATATATATATATATATGTTTATATCTATATGTATAAATATCTATATCTATATATATGTTTTATGTCTATATCTATATATCTATATATGTTTGTTAAAAAAGACCACATTGGAGAGAATCGCGATCATTTTAAATTACCACTGAAGAGGTTAAGATAGAGAGAAAAGTTTAGTTGATTAAATTTAAACGTATCAAATTGCATTTCACTTGAAGGAAACAGAATTTCTGGTTTTTACAACCAAATTAACTTCATAAAAACAAGAAATTTTGTATTTTACTTTAATTAAAAATTGATTAAATGAATTCATTTGTGCAACAATTTCTTTGCGTATAATGAAGAATAATGCAACGCGATCGGCACAACTGCCTGCCATTTCCCAGAAGCGTAATGATTACTCCGTTTTTTACAACTCTCATAGATGCGCATATATTATTATATATTATAACATTATTACAATGTTTATTATTCGAGGTAAATACTACTAAATTTAGTAGTAAAAAACTAAATTTTTTTTTCATATTAACATTAGAAGAACATTATCGAGCAATCTAAATTGCAATCAGAGATACATGAGATACATTAATATAGAACGTTTATTTTTCTGATATTTCCTTGGATGTATAGTGGATTTGTGTAGGTTTATCAGATTCAACAAATATTTTCTGCGCGTAATCAATAAATCATTTTCTCCTATAGCGCCAAATTATTATTACTAAAATATTGCTATATCTTAGTAAACTAAATTCTTTCTGCGTAGGTGAACGGTTAAGCTCCAATAATCATTTTGTGGTATTCGAAGTCTTGAATTATTTTTTGATAAAATGTCAGCTCTTAAATGTCAGCTATGGCTAAATAAAAAATATATAAGGGAAAGTGGGGTGATATGACGCAGCGGAAAATATGACGCAATATCTAGATTTTCGTTATAGAACGGAATGATAAGGACGGCGCCTTAGTCCTCATATTAATATGGTATGATAGCTAGACATTGAGAGATTATTATATCTAATTGTTATATTTGGATCTTAGATTTTGGGTCAGTTACAATTTTTTTTGTCAATATATCACACTATAAGAGTCAGGAAATTTCGTTGGGTCAAAATTGCTAAAAATTGCTAAAAATCTCATAGCAATAGTGTTCCATCTGTTAATCGTAAATTGCATTATAACAGAAGAAAGTAGATAGAAAGGAGATTATATTAGAGCGGCGGCTTTAGTCCAAGATATCTTATCTTTTAGCTAAGTGCATGCGTCCTTTCTCTTTGACAAATGGGAGATATGACGTTTTTCGTATAAGAATGATGTGACGCACCTCTAATTATAAAAGTGTTATGAGAGAAATAGTACATGCCATTTTTCACAATTAATAAAAAGGAAAACAAACAGTCCTATTTCAATTGTTCCCAATTGTTACTTCGGGAAATGCCGATTAACGCGACCGCTGTTACCGACATAGCGGCGCGCAAGAAGTTGGCGCTACGCGACGCGGTATCAACGCATGCGAGAGTGCGCGTGCATACTAGGTACTAAAAGCAATTAATTTTTTTATAAAATAATAAATATCATATTTATTATTATTTTATATATTATTATTAGTTTTTTAACAAAAAAATACGTATGTTATACGATATAAACATGCAATTTCTTATTTAATGCGTCATATCTCCCAGCCTCAAACGTCACATCACGCTCTTAGATAGGTAATATGCTACAAAAATAATATTTTTATTTCTTTAACTTTTTCATATGCCTGTGGTTTGGAATTTAACTTCATATTATTTATTGAAACTACATATTATAAGGATATTAGATACGGTATTCGTTTTTTTTTATTATTCGTTTACTATGATTTACTTCACTTTTTCGAATTGTGCGTCATATCACTCCATTTTTCCTTAAGTATTAAAATGATGCACCTCATCAAATGGAAGAAAATGGCTAAAAAAGAATTAAAATCTATTTTGCATATTTTCAACACCGTCTACTCTATAGCGAATATTCCAAATTATTAATGTTAAATAACTTTTGAACTAGAGGTATGCAAACGAAAATCTATTTACTAAGGCGGGTTAAATTAATTTTTCTGGAAGTTGAGGAACTAGTGTGAAGTTGACCCTCCTAAATTTGTTTTGAATGACTTTTAAACGAGAGGTGTGCAAACGAAAATACGAAGTGTACATACAGACATGTGTAAACAATGTGCAAACGAATGATGTATAGAAAGTTGTTTCTTCCAACAGTTGCGGGACTAACTTCATATTGGTGCTTCTGGCGGTTCATATAAGCATTTTATTTGAATAAGGTTAATTAGGTTTTGGTTAATTCTGCTAGTTATAATAAAATTAATCGGCGATTAAGTTAATCAGAATTTGGTAAAAGTCACTCTTAATTAATAGATATTATTAGTATTTATAATCCATATTACTTTACTGATAAAGACTTTCATTTCTCTTCTTTCTTTATTGCACATATTTCTTATACGTCTCCTAACATAGTCATTTATTTCGACAGAATACATATTTTTGGACCATTTTTTTCCAAGTGGTTAAGCGCATAATTTTGATACTTATATACTTTTAATCTATTCATAAATAGAGCTACAATTTTATTAAAAAAAAAATTTTTAATTCCGAAAATGGAACAAACTTGGTTGTACTTTTCCTCTATCAAAGAACAACACGTAAATACTATTAAAACGTTAGCTTGAGATGATAAAATGTTTCTATTATGATAAATAATGGAATAATACTAATTTAATCACAAGTCAATCTTAAATTAAAAATGTACATTAATGTTCGAATTTAAGATTTATTGGTCATGATGACATTACTATTATCTTTAGCAACATAATTAAGAATTCTTTAAGTACCCTTATAGAAATATCATACTAAGAATCATTGATAATTACTTATTATCCAGTATTTTTAATACTGAAAATAAGTAATTATCAATGATTCTTAGTATGATATTTCTATAAGGGTTTAATACTGGTTTTTGTGTTGCGTGTACTCTTAAATGTAAAAACTTTGTTGCTTATTCAAAGATTCTTATTCGCTCGTCGGAAAATTTATGCATCAGGATGGAAATAAATTCGTTCTAATCGTCTCGGTGACTTTGCGGTTTTATTATTCAGGTAGGGAAAAAGCGGAAAAAGAAATATTTTCTTCGAAGTGTGGGATTTAGTCAATTATCTTTATTCGTCCTTGCCAATTCGGCGAAGCGCGCCTAATCGATCCGACGAAGGGATCTTAAAAAATAAAAGCGAAAAAAATTGACACGCGTAGCAAGAACCAAGTAGGATGACTGAACCCTCGAAGGACAAGAATGACGCGCAATGAAAAAAGAAAGATACATAATGGAAGTGAAAGAAGCCGGGAACATGCGTGCCGGAGTCCTTCGGGGCAATGCGCGCGTTCGCTCTCAAGGTCGAAACGTCTGATTTTTACCGCCATTAGATCAAGGTCATTGTGTATCGCACTAGTTACATACAAAACAGAGAGAGAGACGAATGATATTGCGAATGCGACCGTTGTTAGCACGAGCACATTGTTACATACGCACGCGAATGTATTAATTGCGCTTTGAAGCGTTACGATCGCGACGCGTGCGCGATTGTTAAACGAGACAATTGCAACATTTCCGGCAACGACTTCTGCGAAAGTATATTTTGACTTTCACGACTTCAATGCCTACTTATAAATGGATATGATATATATTTATTTTTCTAGCTCTTGATTTTTTATCTCTCATTGACTTTTTATCTTCTCATTAAAGAGTTACGAGACCCTAACAGTAATAAAAATTAGGTAAAATTTAGGGGGTTGTAAAAAGTTGTAAATTAATAAGAGTATTAATTTTATATATATATATATATATATATCTATTGATAATATTTTGATATAAAAAATTAGATTGTATGGTCACTGGTTTATTGCAATTCTGAAAAGAATCATGCTTCAATTGTAACCGTCCTAGTCTCGAGTGTCTCGACAAGAGTGATTTGAAATCAGTATCAATGCATTTGCTTTACTCATTAGTTATAGTTATCGGTGTGCGAAGTAGATTTTGAAAAAAATAATATTTCGCAAAATGAGAGTTATGAAAAATTAAATTTAACCTTTTCACTGAAAAATTTGAGCTTCTGAAATAAATAAATAAAAATGGTTTTGAAATTTGCGGAAAACCTCCATGAAAACCGATAACTATAATTCTAATGAATAAAAAAATCTGTAGATATTGATTTCCGATCACTGTTGAGACCCTCTAAAATAGTTACTTTAAACATAATTCTTTTGCAGAACATAATTGAAATAAATATAATGGTGTTAATATTCATCATAAAATCTAATTTTGTATACCATTATAGATATTGTTAATAGACATACATAATAAAATATTCATATTTTTATTAATTTACAAGTTTATACAACTCAGCAAATTTTATCCAATTTTTGCTCCTGTCAGGGTTTTGTAATCCTTAAATGGTCATTCCGTTGAAAAGATTTATATTTTTTTTTTTTTTCGTACATGTACGAAAAACGTATTTTTTCTCATGCATTTATGATCAAATTATTGTATTTTGTGCTACATAATTTATAGTAGTTGAAGGATATATCAATTGAATAAAGGGGTGCCGCATCGCGAATCTTGCGATCTTCATCAAGAAAAGATGAAAGTATACAACGTTGCTCTCAAATTGACGTTCTTTTACAGATACGAGGACGACTAATTGGCTGTTGATGAGCTCGCCCTTCCCCACATTATTTATCTGCCTCATGTATGTGTTCCTCGTGAAATTACTGGGACCAAAACTGATGGAGAACCGGAAACCATTTCAGCTTAGAAACAGTCTGATAATTTACAATCTGTTCCAAGTGATCTTCTCCACGTGGCTATTTTACGAGGTGAGAATCCTATTGCTCTCATGGCGTGAGTCGTTGAGAGTGTCGTGAATTAGACACTCGACTGAATTTATCCAACAAAACGAGTTTTTTAGGAGGTATATAAGCCGAATCCATTCCTGATTTGTTACAGTCAGATTTTGACTTTTAGTATTTTCTTCCGTTCACAGACATTCCTCACAATTATTTAACATTTATTGAATTATGGAAATATCTAGCACCGAGAAAAAAGTTTAGTTGAATTAACCTGACAATGAACGAATTAAATATTTTTATAGTTGAAGAAAATAGCCAAAATATACTTTCATGATTATCATTATCAAAATTATACTGTCATTTGTATTCAGTGATGCAAAAAACGTAAGATTACATATATAATTTACATTAAACTTTTTAAGTCAACATCCAAACATTTTTAGGTCCATTTTATCCATTTTATTAAAAGTTGTATTCCGTTAGATTTTTTTGTTACATTTTACGTGACACATTATTTTGAGTAAATTTTGATCATTTGTTTTATTTCCTATTTAATTTGTTATTTCCTATCTAATTTCTAATTTGTTATTCTATGTAATAAATATGAATGCCACATAAAAACTACTCATAGGAGACGCAACCTTTACAAATAAAGTTGCTGTCAAATTTACGTATACCTGTTTATCTGTGGGAAAATTTCTTGCTTTTATGAATCTAATTCGATTATGAACCAGAAATTTCGTTTCCTTTAATTTGCTTGGTTTATTGTCAGGTTAACTCCAAACATTTTTCTCTATACGGAAATAATCACAAGGAGAATCACTTCGATTTCGTTTCAATTTTTATTATCCGATTACTTTCGGTACAGCATTCGAGTCGCGGAGAATTTCATTTTGCAATAGACTTTTGATTCTCTCAGCATAAAGTAAATTTCGACTTTCTTTAATTAGTCGATTCGCACATGCTCCACGGATTTTTTTTGCTCTTTGGTGTCTTCATCTTTTACGGCTTACTGCGAAGATTCGTTGTCGGCTTTCGAAATCATCATCGGGACACCAAGTCACGATTGGTTTGTTTGTCGATAGCCGCGACACGGTTGAAAACGGATGATAATAGTCTTATAGGGTACGGCACACTACTTACGGTTGCGCGAGCTGATGATTCCGCGATCTTTTCGTGCTTGCCGGCAGCCACTGGAACGCGAAGCAACCTCTGACGAAAACTTTCTATCTTAACAATCGCAACGATCAATTTCGTTGCCTGCAATGAGTACGTTTGTCAATGGTGCATTTCCTGGCTATATTTACGTGACCTGTAGCGCGAGAAAAGGAATAATCAACGTTAGTCTTTTATAAATCTTCGATTATCGGAGTTCATATATGTCCCGTCATAACGTAACGTTAATCTTTTCAGGATGTCTCTTATATTTTTTAAATACGAGATTTGTGACTGAATACATTTTTAATAATTTTTAATATTTTGCAATAATAAAATTCTACAGAGTAGAGGAGACCAGGGCTAGTTGGCTTTTTAGAAAACTTTTTAGTTTTCTATTTTTACAAATGAAACTGAGAAATTTATTAAAAAATATAGCTTATGGCCCGTATTAATAGTCATGTTTCTATTGAGATTCTTAGCTGAATCAATTCTTGAGATACAATATGGTTGAATAATTCTATCTTGAGTTCTGCTTCAAGAAGAGATCTTGAAGAATAAATCAAATAAAAAAGATCAGTTGATAATTTATTAAGTCATTTTGCGCTCTTCAATAGTCGATTACCGAGATTAGATCAGAAGCGCATATAACAATAGTCGCTATATCTCATCTTAAGAAGAGTTTTAAATCGCAGAAAATCTCGTATTGTCCGCACAATTCATAGACGGAAATTAAGAAAGATTTGTATGTATATAAAATGTATTTTTGATAATCATGAATTTAACAAGACACATAACAATTATGAAATTGTGCAGTCGTGACTTCGAAAGCTCTATGTGAAAGATGCAGAAGATCTTTTTAATTAATATGTTAATCATGAATTTGAAAAGCGGTATAGATTTCTTAAAGAAGTTGTAATGCATTTTATTTTACTGCAAATCGAAGAAGCATTACAGAAACTATCCAATCGTGATTTACTCGTTTATCTGTTTTACCAATATCGCAATTGATTTTATGTTTGCGTTTCTATGTGACTGCGTCCTTCTAGGTTAGTTTATTCACTGTGATATATATATATATATATATATATATATATATATTCAAACTTTATATGAAAAACTATTCTAATAAGATATTTTAACTATTATAATAATAATAGGAGAATATTATAATATAGATTACAAATATATTTTATTATAATATTTTTTCATATCTATTATAATATCTTTCATATCTATTATAATAAATAAATTAATTTGAAAGAATACAGTCGCATAGAAGCGCAAACACAAAGTCAATTGCAACATCCCAAAAACTAACAAACACATAAAAAATGAGATGTCAAGGAAAATATAATATAACTCTTCTCTGAGATTTAATATACATATGTATTAAGAACTGAGTCAGTAACACAATAAATACGGATGATAATAACAATATCTATACTCAAATAATTAGAAGCAGGCAACAAAGGAGAAACAATATTAACTACGATAAACTAGGTGTTGCAAACAATTCTGAAGAGAAACGCAAATCTTGGAAATAGTAACAAGGCTGCAGTCAGCAAAAAGAAATTGAAATGACTTCCTCTATAGAATAGCTGCCGGGAATGCTAATAGACTTGTCAGACAAGTTCATGAATTAGAAACATTTCTGTGTGCGGAATTATAAAATAGATGTTTATATATGTCAGAGATTCATTTCACTAGAGAAAATTACTTAAACTTAAAAGGATTTTAATACTATATTTTAATAGTAAATTATACTAAAAAAAAACTTACTATACTAAACTTACTATAAAATTTATTTTGATAACACAGTAAATATAATTATTGATGATAATTAAAGAAAACATTAAATGTTACGAAGAAATTAATTACGAAATTCTACAAATCTAAGCAACAGCTGTAAAAACTTTTTGTAAAACCAAGAACTTTATAATTACAGCAATATACTGCAATATAAAAACTTAAATATTCTTTATAACTTAAATATTCTTTAGTGAAAGCTGATTACTTGGAACTTCTTTAGATATTGGTGGAGGGAGATCACTTTATAATTAGAGAAGACTTCAACACTAAAAATAAATATCGGAGATGCCATTAAACTCACTGCCATTAAAGATAAACAGTTACATGAAGATAAGATCAGATAAGTCAAGTGATTGAGTATCAATCAACAAGTAAGCTAACATATAGGCTTACAGACAGAGATAAGATACCTGCCTTGATTGACTTCTTGACTTCTTAATGAAAAGGATTATAATAGAGGAGAATTTTTATTTATCATCCGATTATTTGTCTATTATTCTAACATTAAGCGATACTTCTATCATTAAAAAGCAAGCACTATCATTAATAAAAAAAAAAAGACTGATTAGATAGGTTTTAAAAGAGAATATATATCAAGAATCAAGCTAAATACGCCATTAAAAATAATGAACAGCTCGAAGCTTGAAGTGAAATAATTTGTCGTTGATTTGTAACAAGCGGCATGAAACAACACCCTAAAAAAGGAAGAAAATGGAGTGAACTTAAAAAAAAGATATAATAGTTATGAAGAGAAGGGCCCGTAAAAAATGGTAACAAGCAAAAGCGTCAGAAAACAAAAAGTAACTAAATACATTAAGTAGCGTGAAGGTTTGGAATATAAATTAGAAAGAAACTTGCCTAAACAATACAGCCATCTTTTAAAATCATATTCTTCTAATTAGAGTTGAACATAAAACATGTTCTGAGCTGAAAAACATAATGACCAGTGTTCTGCAAAGAAGCATTTTAGCTTCATTGTTATAGCTTCTTTTACGAAAGATATACTAAATATAGAAGAAGCTACCATTGCAATCTTTGCTGATGATATAGCCATTATAAAGAAAAGCAACAGCATTGAAGAAACGACATCCACACTTTAATTTGCTGTAGTCAAGATTATCAAATGGATCAAGATATGGCACATCAAACTTAATGAAGTGAAATCAACGCATGTAAATTATGCTAATAAAAGAATCAATCACCTATCGTGATTAACCAACTATTACTACACGGAAATAATGTAAAGCATCTAGGGATGACGCTGGGTGCAAAACTAAGAAAGAAGAAATATGTTAAAAAGAAAAGAAAACAACTTAATTTAAAATAAAATAATATATTTGTGTTATAATCAGAAAAGATATTCAGAAGTATTAATATCTAATAAACTCCTAATTTATAAGCAAGTGCTGAAACCAGTCTGAACTTATGGAATGCAGCTATGAAGAGATGCACTAAAAAAGAAAGTGATATTCTAGTAGTGATTCAATATTTTCAGGACAAAGTACTTGTTAACAAAGTATAATGCACCATGGTATATTAGAAATAAAAACACTCGCAATAACGAGATAGCTCCTGTTGAAGAGAAAATGTGGCGATTCACAAGAAGGCACGAGGAGAGACTCCACCAATATTATAACATTGAAATGCACCTTCTGGACAATGGTGAAATTCGATGGCTAAGAAAAGTGAAACCATTTGAATTAGTCTGAATAAATGGAATAAAAAACTGAGCATACACGTAAGAATAGCGTTTAAAAATTTCTTGGAGTATTTCGCAAGAAAGTATATCCATCACAAAACGAGAAGTAAATGATTAAAGACAAATTATTAAATGGATTTAATCCAGTTACAATTGTACAGTTTTCTTGACTATTAATAAAAAAAATTGCAACGTTGGTCAGATGGATAAACCACGATTGAATAGTTTCTGTAATACTTCTTCGATTTGCTGTAAAATAAGGTATATTACAATTTCTTTAGAAAATTTATAAAATTCGTTTTTTAAAAAATTTATAAAATTTGTTTTTTAAAATTCAGGATTAGTCCGCTAATCAGAGGGATATTTAATATTTTTTCCAGTGCTTTGAAACTCGCGGCAATTTCAAAATTGTCATATATGTCCCCAATTCATGATTCAATGATTAAATGTCGGGGAAAATTCCATACATATATCCTCTCTAAATAAAGACATGTAAGAGATTTAATTGTCGCTTTTCCGCGACGCTGATTGGTTCTCTCGCTTAGCTCACTTCATGTGGTCTGCGGCTTCATGTCGTTTGCGTCTGTCAAATTACCAGGCAAGTAGTTGTCATCGCGTTGGTTAGGTCATGAAAAAAAATATAGAAGAGATATGTCTCTCCTTGTCTCTCCCTGCCTCTCCTGTCTCTCTCCGTCTCTCCCCGTCTCTCTCTGTCTCTCCCCATCTCTCCCTGTCTCTCCCCATTTCTCCCGGTCTCTTCCCGTCTCTGCCCGTCTCTCCCTGTCTCTCCCCGTCTTTCTCTGTCTCTCCCTGTCTCTCCTTGTCTCTTCCTGTCTCTCCTTGTCTCTCCCTATAATTATTAATTAATTAAAGTATATTTTAATTTAATTTAATTTTTATTTAATTTTTAATTTACATTTTTTATTGTTTTTTATTAGCTATATGACGCGCGCATGTATAGTCAATAGAAAAAACATATAAGACATTGCACACGAAATGCATATATAGCATAGATGTACATGCATAGCATAAAATCATACTGGCCACAGAGTATCATGCTCTGCAAATCAATATAGCTACTTTATATTAAATGCTAATTGCTCCAGACGGTCTTATGCTGTGCATATGAATCTATACTATGCATATGTATTTTGCATGCGAAGATTCTGATTATATATTGTACATGCAACACGATTTTTGCATGAACATGTTTTGGCTTTATTTCTATCTCTTAGTAATGCGATAAATATCAACTATAGCACAGTATAACAAGTGAAATGAGAATATTGTCTTAACTTAATAATGTCTTACATGGATAATAAAACTTGTTTATTAAAATAATTCGTCCGTAAATCTACTTTTTTAAGAATTTTGTAAAGTTTTGATAATATGTTAATATAAACACGATCTATTCATATGTGCAATTAGAAGAAGATTGACCGAAATTGAAATAATCGAAATCAAAGTTAGCACTTTTTACGTATATCACAGATACGAAAACGGCTTTCGATAGTACGTTTTTTGTAGCAGTATCAACGCATATTAACGTTTACAGATGTCTAAATATTTACAAGTATTGCGTAGTCTTACGGTTTTAATGAAAAACAACACGATAATAAAAGAGACTTATAAAAATATATTATTATAAACGTACAAGACCTTTGATCATCTAGTTTTGAATGTATTGATACGTAAAGTATACGTAAAGTATACAATTTCTGATAGTGACTGAAGTATATGACAGCTAAGCTATGGAGATCTAGTAAAATTGTATAATTAAATTCCGGCTTAAACTACCGTGGGGTGTGAAGATGTATTCAAACCTGTTTGAACGTGATCTGAGATTTGTTTTGGAGAATATCTTGAAATTATTTTTAAGGAATATTTAGAAATATTTAGCAATAGGAATTAAAAAAGCTTAAGAGAAAAGTAAAGAATAATTGATACGGAAAGGATATTAGGAGAAAAGGACAGTGTGTCAAATAGTCATAAATATATTCGGGAAGGCTAAAGACATAATGACGAAATCACTAAATAAGAAGAAAAAAAGGTAAAATTGCGAGGGAAGATAGTCGAATGTGTAGTTTATGTCGCCTATTTTATAACAATCTGACAGTCTGAAAAATGCGACGTGGTTATAACGCAGACAGTCCCAGTTAAAACTATATAATATATTAATTATTAACTTTTTATAATATTGTCACAGACAAACTACTTTAAATAATTTATTTCTCAAATCGAAAAATTTATCTTGAAATCTTGAAAAATTTATCTTGATATTATTTGATACGCATTTAAAAATAGGTCTAAAAAATGACTATTAACACGGCCCTTTACTAGATACACATTTGATTATCTAAGTAGTCCTTAACAATATATAAAATTTGAGAACTGATATAAAGAATTACAGATATAATTGTTACAGATATAATTGTTATATTATAGATATAAGTAAAATAAAACAAAATAGCCAACGATTTATGTTACAAATATAAACTTTATGTTGTTGCAATTAAAAGAAATATCTTTTATGTGAAAAGGAAAAAAATACATCTTTAATTAAATTTAAAAAATTAGTTATAACTTCTTAATATTTAGTTTAATAATTAGTCGCTAGACTATAATCTTTATCATAGTCTCAGTAAATGATTTAAAATGGAATTATAAAGCTACCTTTCTATCTATGATGAATGATAATAATGCTCAGTTATAATTCAGTCATATCTAATTATTATAACACGTATGTTATTTAGCTTTGGCATTAGATGAGTCTACTTAGCCTGTTTCTTTATTTATTTCTCGTAAGAAAAACGCAAACTTATACAAATAAAGATTGAAATAATCGAAAATAAGCGATGTCAGTCTATATCAAGTAAAGGCTACATTTATTATCCATATCTACATCGAATAAAAAAAATATCCAAAAAATAGTAAATATTTATTTGATGAATATTAATAACATATATATTTACGTAAATCAATTTTTTATTTAAATATAACTTAATAAATTGCTTTTATAAAAAGTTAAAGTTTTTTAGGGTTTTCAAGTAAGAAAATGTATATTTTCTTACTTGAAAAATATTTTATATTAATATAAATAAATATATTAGTAATCACTGCGTGCGAATAAATATTTACTATTTTTTAGTGAGAATTTACATTTTGGCAAAAGCAGAAAATAGAAAGGCAAAATCCAATCAAAACTTGCGTTGATGATCAGATTGTAGTCAACAGTTTCTGCTTTTCTATTAGCGCGAATTCTGATTAGCTTCTGCCTTCCTATTTTCTGCTTTTCTACTAAGGTAAATTACCTAAATTCTCCCTTAAATATTTTTGCTTTCTCAGTGTAAATCAAATATCTTAGATAACTATATATGATTTTAAAACAAAAAGCAAGAATAATAATATTTACTCGCGTCTATAAATTTCTTATTATGCCTTATAATTTTTCAAATATGTTTATTTACATCAAATTGTTATGATAAACTGAGCAGTACTGACTGAGTACATACACGTTTCTGTCTATGACTTGTCTCAAACTTAAATTCAGCTAGTTAACTAACTCTGATCTGTTCTACATGTATAACTCAAGTGATACCGAAAATTTTGTCGTGACATTTATAACTCAATAACATCTACTTAACCAGCCCATCCCAATCTGAATTGAACAGCAAAATTATATAATTATTTGTTATTTATGCACTCTCCGTAAATACATGCAAATATTTTATGTTCCATTCATTATACCAGAAACAAAATTTTGTAAAGGAGCCAGGTAGAGCGTCAAGTCAGTCTTTCCCCCCATTAACAAATTAGTTAGTTAGATATTTAACAAAACAAATATGTAAAAATTATGCGATCTTATATTCAGATAATTTCTATTTTTATTGTTTCTTTGTTCTTATTGCCAACTTTTAAGGAACTTCTCCTTTGATGCAAAAAGTAGAATAGTCATAGAATTAAAAAAAAAATGGATAATATCGTGAATTCAGTTATTCACGATAAATCTACGATTTATGCGCTCTTATATCTAGAGAAGTCTCTTCTCTAGATATAAGCGTTGCAATATAAAAATCATCTAGATATAAGAGTGAATAAATCATAAATTCATCGTACGTAACTGAATTTACGATATTTTCTATTCTAAAGAAGTTCTGTGATAATTCTATTTTTTACACCAAGAGAGAAATCTTTTAAGAGTTGCAGCGCAAAAATCGAAAAAAATGACCTGAATATAAAAGTGCATAATTTCTACATATTTGTTTTATTAAATAACTTGTTTGTTAGAAGGGGACTGACTTGCCGTCCACCTGACTCCTCCACAAAAAATTTTTTATGGTGTGATGGATGGAGCGTAAAAGTTTTGCGTGTTATTTTTGAAGAGCACTTAAATAGCACATAATTATATAATTTTGCTGTTCATTTCAAATAAGGTGTGAGAGCTAGCTAGGCAGACGTATGCTCTTTGGTTGAATAATAATTTTTCGACAAAGCAAGCGCGTTTGTGTCTCTAATGATGCTTAAACGAAGTTTCGAGCCTGGGAAACGCACCAATGACAAAAGTATGGAGGCACGATTGTACGTTTATTTCGCAACGCAGTGTCTCATGGGCGGATGGTGGGACCAGTATAGCTTTCGCTGCCAACCAGTTGATTATTCCAACAGCCCCACTGCGATAAGGGTAAGTCCCGCGTAACTCTAAGTGATCTCTCTCTCTTTTTCTCGACTGGACGGCTATCCCAACCGAAATCAAAGCTAAATTGAATCGAATGCTACACATACATACGTAGTGTGGACAAATACAGATGGCTACGGAGCTGTAGGAGCGCCGATTTTCTCACTCTGGTTGTATCGTTGATGATAAGGATACTTGCCTAATGATTTATGTTGCGTACAGTTTATAGGGGAGGCCAGTTCTTCCTTGGGCGGAAGCTTGCGGCAGGGGTAAATCGTGCAGAAGTGCGTGACCACGTGCGGAAGAGCTTAATGCTTTTTTTCTTATCTTGTATAAAATTCAACTAGAAATTTATCTTATGGTTCTGATTAGGTTGACCTATCAATTATCTGGTTTGTATAAAAGGTGATTAGGTTCTAATTATCGATAAGGTCCTAATTATTAATAATCCCAGATAATGTCTAAAATCAGGACATAAGACGTCTTAAAGATAATCTTTAAGACGCCTTAAAGACATTTATACGTAAATCGTCTGAAAGACATCTTAAAGATGATCTCTAAGACGTCTTATGTCACGATTTTAGACATTATGTTGTCTGGGATTCTTATCATTTTTTTATTAGTGTTAGTAATAAGAATTTTATATGTATGTATATCTCTAAATAGCATAGAGATATTCTATGAATATTCTTTACAAAATATTTGAACATTTTATGAATGTACTAAAACCATTTTTATATGTTCATAGTATATTTGAATAACACAACTTATGTACGCAACTATAATTTTTGGTGAGATTAACTATTCTCTTTCCCAATATACATGAGTTATGAGGACCCAATAATATCACCTGCTACATACTAGATAGCTGATTGAGATCAATCTGAACACAATATATGGAATAGATTTCTAGTCAGAAGCATGTCCTTAGCCGCGCCTTCATCTTCTAATTATTCTCCTCGCTTAAGGGCCGTTCAACAATTACGTCACACTATGGGAAGGGAAAGGAAGAGTAACGTTATATGAATATCCTGTGTTTAATATCTAAAAATATTAAATTCTATAAAAGTAATTTAATTTGTATTAATAATCAAAATTTTAATTCTGATATTAATTTTTCTTAAATATAATTTCTATTAATCAAAATTATAAAATAAAATATCTAGTTTGATATGTCTGAAAATCATTAGTATTTTAGAAAGAAATAGTAGCGCGGTCTAATAATTATTACTCACAATATGATTATATAAGCTATTCTTATTGTGAATTATATTATTGCTCTTATGTGAAAGGGAGGGATGGATGGCTGTAATTCCACGTGTCACATAATATTAGAAAGGAACCTAAACTTTGCGACGAAGTATAACGAAGGAGAGAGGGTAAGATAAGAAATACCCAAATTTCGCGTGACGTAATTGTTGATATTAGATATTATTTGTCACAGTCTTCCATAGCACGTTCGGCGTGAATTATGCCGACAATCTTCCGACATTTCGACCGCTTGTGGTCGCGTACTGCGTATTCACATTCTCAACAGAGCTGGTATCGCAACCATGAAAACATTCTATTTCTTGAATTGGAGGCAGCGAGTCGCTTGGTGCTTCCGATGGACTTGTCCTTCGATCAACAAGACGGCGTGAAATTGTGCAATGTTTCTCACACCAGTTAATTCTCACCGCGAGAATTAACTGAACAATCACTTTACTATTCGGAATTCATTCTCTCGGTTGCGATTTCTTTTTTTCTGTTGAAGGTGCGATACTGCCATGGCCTGACGTTCGTAGTTGGACGCACATATTAGTGGAGTAGTAATAGTAATATTAGTAATAGTAGTAGAGTAATACTTTTTAGGCTTACGCAATATTGTTACGCATACATTTCCGCTATCCTATTATCATTATTCTCTTCATTGATCGGCGAATGGCCTCTGGGCGGTTGTGGTTACAGATAGGGATGTCCGGATGGCTGACTGGAGACTATTCGCTAAGATGTCAACCTGTAAACTACAGCAACAAACCCCAAGTATTAAGGGTGGGTGATATCGTGTGATTAACGAAGTTATTTTGTGATCTCTCGCATAATGTCTAGTCTCGCGAGACGCGCAGCGCCGGTCCAGTGAAATTAATTCGTAATCAAAGTTCCGACACAAACGGGGCGGTCTTCGCGAGCCTTGTTGAGCATATGTTAAGTATTCTCTTTCTCATTTTATTTATGGTTTTCTTTAGACAAATAAGTCTGATAAAAAAACTGCTTGAAGAATTGGCGCATATAATATGGACCGCCCATTTTTTCTCTTTCTCTCTTTCTCTTTCTGTTTCTCCATCTATTTCTCCTTTTCTCTTGCCGAGAATCTGAGAGTCGGTATTTTTGTAAAACTCCATATATATTATAGACCGGTCCTGCACGATTCTGCGGTACGGTAGTCTTTGTGTAGTTGCCAAAGAGTGAATGAAAAAGAAGAAGACTGAAGTCTTAGCGTAGTGCGTGAACTTAGTGAGAATTTATGATGGAGCAGCATTTTTTAACCAAACTGTAGATAATAGTTTGCGCAATTAACACCATTCAGCACGCTACAATAGAAAATACTACGTCATAAACACGGCAGAACGAGCACACTGTAGTTATGTAGTTCTCTTATTCACGCAGCACTATACTAATTTTTGTCAACGCTCTTTTATGTACACTGACATGTACCAATGTCCACAACAGTCATCCTCCACGCGTACTCATACGGACACCACTGTGACAAGCTATACGTCGATGTGTCTTGTCCTATCGACTTAAAAATCGATATTTCTATGGCATCTGTTGGGACTGCATTTCAATATTTATTGCCGGTACTGAAAATCTATAATCGTGTGTAACTATAGATTATCAGTACACGGAAATAAAACGGAATGATTGGCCCATACATAAATCTGGTTGTGTCAACCAGATATTGCATCTGATTGGTACAACCAAGTTTATGTATGAACCAACCATACTGTTTTCCGATATTCACTTGCAGTGAATATCGGAACGCAGTCTAGGGGTCGATATTCATAGTTCGATTTAAAATTTGAAGTCGTTCTGAGGCTATTATAGTCAATGAAAGGACCTTACAATTTTAAGAACATGCTTAAGAAAATCGTAAGTATAAGATCGAACTATGAATATCGGCTATAAATGCGTTTGTTTGCACTGCTATTTTGTTTAAAAGCCGTTGACTGCCATGTTGATTTCCATTGATTATACTGATCTACAAAAAGTATTTTTCTGTCACATGAATCAAATCATATCACATAGATTTGTAACAAGGATCAAATAATACGATATACAGAGTGTCTCATAACTACCGCAAGATATTTTAATAGCGTGTTCTGAAGATAAAGTAGAGTAAAAGATCCTTATACAAAAATGTCGAGGCTACAATAGTTTTTGAATTATAATCGATCAAAGATTACCAGTAATATCGCGTAGAATTCACGCGCTCAAGCTCGTAGTTATACAGCACACACATCGTTTTATTATTTGTTATCGACTTCACGGTTAATATTAATTTTTGCTACACACCTGATTCCTAAAAACATTAATAATTATTATTGTTAGAATTATTAAATTTAATAGTTTTACACTTGAGAAATAAGGATTTTTGCGATTTTTTACATAAAAAGTAATCATGGAAAATAATTTATTATTATTTTTGTTGTTCACATTTTATGAAGAGTGAAATTGTATAATTCTAATAAATCGAGGCAATAAGATTAATTTGTCCACAGTTCTTAAACAATTTAAATTTTTATTAAAATTAATTGGTGATTTAATCTTGATATAATAAATGGATCTTATAATATAAATTATAAGATCCAAATTAAGATAATAAAAATTTAAATTGTTTAAGAAATGTGGACAAATTAATCTTATTGCCTCAATTTATTAGAACTATACGATTTCATTCCTCATAAAATGTGAAGAACAAAAATAATAATAAATTATTTTCTATGATTACTTTTTATGTAAAAAACGCAAAAATCCTTATTTCTTAAATGTGAAACTATTAAATTTAATGATTCTAACAATAATAATTATTAATGTTTTTAGGAATCAGCTGTGTAGCAAAAATCAATATTAACTGTGAAGTCGATAACAAATGATAAAATATGTGTGTATGCTGTATAACTACGGGCTTGAGCGGGCAGTCAACGTATTAACATGTTTCATGTCAGGTCAAATTTATGTGAATTGTCCTGCATGTCTTCAAGACGTCTTAAATCAGAATATAAGACGTCTAAAAAATTTTAAGACATTTTTTAGACGTTGTTAAGACGTGATATTGTTGTGTAAGTTACTATTACAATATTATGTTTATAAAGTAATATATTTGTATTATGTAGAATATGTATTATGTAGAAAGAGATCAACAATTTATTTCGAATGTTTATTTTTAACATAAAATGAAATGTATGTACAGACCCAGATAGCACAGGATGTCCTATGAACATCCATTTTATGTCTATTTTACGTCCGCACATGCAATGAACGTCCATAAGATATTCGATTTTGGACATCCGTTAATGTTCACAATGATTGGATGTCCGAAATATTTATTATAATAAAGTTCCAAAGAATATTTTAGAATAAATTATAGGAATACGAAAAAATTACTGGCATACTATTGAAAAAAAACTATAGGAATACAAAAAAATTACTGGCATACTATTGAAGAACTACAATTTTTCAATAGCATGTCAGTAGTTTTTCGTATTCTTGTAGTTTTTAACCATAAAGATACAATGATATAAATAAACATTAGATAAATAGCTATCACATTTTTCGTTATCAAACAGCTAATTAAACATGACCTCTAATAAGATATCCGATCTTAGATATAAATGTCGTAAATATAAAATTCGACTATAGGCATGTTGAGAATATGCGCTATCAACGCTACATATCTTTTTATCCCTAAGTAGTAACGTCACGTCATTTTTACGTCGATAAATGGTGATTATCAGTCCTAGACGTCA